CTCCCTGTCCCTGTCCCTGTCCCGCTCCAGCTCCCGCCTCCTCTCCCGCTCCCGCTCCCGCAGCCTCTCCCGCTCCCTGCTCCTCGGCCAGTCCTTGTCCCCGTCCCGCTCCCGCTCCCTCGGCCTCCCCTCCCTCCTCTCCCTCTCCCGCTCCCGCTCCTGCTCGTGCCGCTCTCGCTCCTGCAGCCTCTCCCTGCTGTCGAAGGAGCCCGACCTGGAGTGGCCCTGGCGATCCGACTCGGGAGAGCTTCTCCTGGAGCTGTGGCTCCTCGAGTCCTGGCGATCTGCAACACGGCAAAGGGGCCTGTGAGCAGAGCTGCGGCTGGGAGCGTCTCCCTGCAGGGCAGCCACGGGGCAGCACAGCCTCCCAGGGGTTCAGGGGGGACGTGTGCCCCCCAACAGCCTCCCCTCCAGACTGACAGCCCCTCAGAGTGCTGCAGCCTGAGCCCTCCTGAGCACATCAGGCACTTCTCCCACGCTCAGGAAACAACTCTAGGGGCTACTTTCTACCACGGCAGAAGCCAAACTCATATATAGCTTTTATATAGTTTTTATACAGTTTTTGTATATAGTTTTTAACTCAGAAATGTAAGCAAAGGGGGAAAAAAAAACAAACACAAAAACCCCTCAAAATTTTCACAATGTCTTCTAAAAATTCAAAATTAATTTAAAGAGCCAAAGTGCTCTTATGGGGAAGATATTTTTCTACTGATGCTGTTTAAATTTTAATACATTTTACTTCCCCCCCATCCCCAGAACTCTAGAAATAAAACAAGTGCATTGTGATTATTGTTATTTGCAACAGAGATGATTTTTTGTGTGCATTAAGGATGCCAACAGGAACCATGACAGATTTAACTCGGTGAAAACAGCCCCTGGGATAATAATGGATCTCCTTCCCAGAAAGAAGTTTACATTTTGCATAAGTTTCAGAATTTCTGTATTAAATGGAGTGTTAATAGTGAATTTAAGAACATTATTTAGATGATTAAACCACCTCCATGTTCTGGTAGCACAAACATTTTCTATGAGTCTCTTGTCCTACCCATTGCTTTATTCCTCAGACAGCACAAACTGAACCTGAGTGTTTTGGTGTGAACAAAGTGCTAACCCTGCCTGCTGAGGAGCAGCTTTTCAAACACGGTGGCACCTGCAGGAACCTTAATTCACTCTCCTCTCACAAGGAATGGCAGGGAGCACCTCCCTCTCCTTCCACACCGATGACAACAGGAGAGCCCAGAGCCCAGCAGGCCTGATTTGGGATTTGTACCTTTGCATTCTCCCACCCAGGGATGGGTCCCTCTCACCCACACGTGTCTCATACCTGACGATGTGCTGCGACTGGGTTCTCCTCGCTTCAGCTGGTCGATCCTGGACTTCCTCTCCCCAGCGATCTCCAGACTCCTCTTCTCCCTCTCCCTCTCCCTGTCCCTGGAGCTGCTGTGCAGGATCCTCCTCCTCCCAGCCTGGTCGTCCCCACTGCGATGAGCTGACTCGTTGGAAGGGGAGCGGAGTCTGCTCGAGGCGTGGCTGCGAGTGCTGCCCAGGCTGCTGCTGCGCTTCTGCTCCACGGCTTTACGGTGGGGCCCATCCCCGAGGGTGACGTGAGGGGCTTCCACCTTTTCTGCCCTTGTCCTGTGACTTTTCCTGTGGGAGTCCTCAGTGCTCCTTTCTGGAACGACCATCTCACCCCGTTCAGGAACGTCTTCATCTGACCAGTCACTAAATGTTGTCTCCTCTCTCTTCTGAGGAACTTCTGCCACAGGTTTCTCCGGTGGCGCCTCAACCAACTCCTCCTTTGTTACTGGAGGGGTTCTTGGGCCTTTCTTCTTTTTATGGTGTGGGACAAGCTCTTCATCTGAAACTTCAGAATCACCCTTTGATCTCTTCCGCTTTTTCTCTACGCTCTTCTTCTTTTGAGCTTTTTTAGGTGAGAACACCTGGCTCTCCTCCGTCGTCGACTCAGCAGCATACCTCTCCCCCCCACCCTCATCCTCCTTCTTCTTCTTGGTGGCCTTTTTCTGGATCTTCGACTTCTTCTTGCCGTCATCGTGCGCTCTGTCGGAGGCCTCTCTCTCTTCAGAGGGACGGTGTCCAGCGTTTTCCTGAGCCCTCGACCGGGAGCTCTCTGAGGCATCTGGCTGCTCTCTCTGCTTGTCCGAGGAGGAAATCCTCTCCTTGAACTCTGGCTCCTCGTAGCGCCGGGAACTCTCCTTCCTGTCCGACTTTCGCTCCTCCTCTCTCCAGCGACTCTGCCGCTCGTCTGTGGCGTGCGAGGGGCTCAGGGACCGGGAGTCTTGGGGCCGCACAACCTGGCTCAGGAGCCTGTGCTTGTCACCTGCACAACGGGAGACAGGATGGGCTGGCATTGTCCAGAGAGGAGGACACGAGCAGGAAAACATCATCTATTACTTCAGTTACATTTCTTAAGTTTTTCTACTCGGGCTGTGGCAGCAAGAGACTATTTCCATTTTGGAAAACATGCATCTTAAACAACTGATGGAAGTCACTGTCACCTGGCAAACGTAACACGGTGACAAAATGAAGTCAGAAGGCAAATATGCAGATTAAGAAAAAGGGTGTTGCTCAGCAAAATAAGGGGAGGAGGATGCTTACAGAAGTGCAGAGACAGCCCAAGCCCTACTCACTCTTATCCTCCCCGCTGTTGTAGGCGTCGCTGTCGGGAGAGTGCTCACGGCGGCGCTTGGGCGACTGACGAGGACTGGGGCTGCTTTCAGTTCTGTGACGCTTCCTGCAGCAGAGACAGGCACAGTCAGATTCCTTCAGGACACTTAAAGAAACATTTATGAATGGAGTTTATCATCGAGACAATCCCTGAAGCCTAAGCACCTAAACACAGAAGGTTTAAGGATCTTTTTCCTAACACATCTACGGATGCCAGGAAGTTTTACTGTTTTCTAAGCTGTTCCTCCAGATCTGCAAGGGTTGTCAGTTTTCTGACCATACTGTAAGACACCTTAAAGTAAAACTCAAATGCTTAAGACAACTACCTTTTTAGCAAAAAGTTATGAAAGACTATTTATTTTCCCTGTGGCAATGACCCTTCTGGTGAGTTGATCCCAGGTGGCAGCTAAGCCCCCACCTAGATGCTTGCTCGCTTGCTTCTCCCCATGGTAGGATGGTGGAGATCCCATACCAGATGATTTATAGGAATCCATGATGCCCTCACATAAAAGCTACAAATTATTTCCAAGCAAAGCAGGCATTCAAGGCAACACTGTTCTGCTTATTATTGGCCGAACTATGAGAATTTTATTATACTAAAAATAAAGCTAAAAGTGAATCAGTGCTACGCTCTTGAAGAGTCCCACAGGAATTTAAAAGTCATGAACCATGACCTAATTTGCTGCTATCTGACTTTCCAGGCTTCTAAAAGGTACCACTGTCTGCTATTGTGTTTCCAGGAACACCTGCAGTGCTGAAGGTGAGGCCACCCAAGCATACTTGGAAGGGAAAACGAAATCGTCTGACTCTGTAGTTCCTCAGCAATTCCTCAGCTCTGCACTAACAAAGCAGTGGATTAACTTCACCAGCACAGCACTGATTTTGGGGCCACCAATACATGCCACACACATGCAGGGGAGGGAGACGTGGCTCCAGACGGCCTCTTAATAAACAGGGTATTGTCCTCCTTAGGATACTCCCCTGCTGACTCAGTGAATTAACAGCACAAGGCTGCTTTCTCTTTTCTTTCCCTCTTTGAAGGAACAGCCAGATCCACTCACTTGGATTTTCTTTCCTCGTGGACATCTCTGGAGCTCCTTTCCTCTCGGAGGTCGTCTCTCTTTTCCCGGCGCTCTTCCCTTCCTCTGTCTCTCTCCTCCCAGTCTCTCTGCCGCTCTCTCTCCTTGTCCCTCTCTCGGCCTCTCTCCCTCTCTCTCTCCCGCTCTCGCTCTCGGTCTCTCTCCCGCTCTCGCTCTCGCTCCCTCTCGCGCTCCTCCCGCTCCCGCTCTCGCTCCTTCTCCCTCTCCCTGTCCCTCCCCCTGTCCCTGTCCCTCTCCCTCTCCCTCTCCCTGTCCCTGTCGTGCTCCCTGTCCCGCTCCCGCTCCCTCTCCTTGTCCCTCTCTCTCTCCCGCTCCCGAGCACGATCTCTCTCCAGCTCTCTGTCCTTCTCCCTGTCCCGCTCCCGCTCTCTCTCCCTGTCCCTCTCCCGCTCCCGCTCTCTCTCCCGGGCCCTCTCATCCCTCCTCTCCTCAGCCCGCTCTGCCCTTCGCTCTTCTCTCCTCTCCTCTCGCTCCAGGTCGTCGCCTCGTCCCTGGTGTCGCGCCGGCGAGCTCGCTCTCTGGTCTGTCAGCAGAAGCAGCTTGGTTACCCCGTGCTGAGAGGGACACGCACCACTCCCACCCCAGGGACAAACAGCTATGGGCTGGCTTTTCCTCATTTTAACCAGCAGTTACTACAAACATTTTACCTCCTACCACATTTCTCTGAACGGCTTCACAAGATGGTGACACACCCCACAGCCTGGCTGTTGCTATTGCATTGCTCACTGTTCAGTTACTGGATTATCTGGTGTGAGGTCTCACACAGCTCTGAAGGACATCCCTACAGAATGTTAAACACTTCTGTAGGGAACTCCACTTCCCACACCTGTCCAGAGCCACGTCCTTCCCAAGAACTCCTGCTGCTCCTAACACAGGAGTGAAAGTTATCACAAAATGAGAAATATTGGCCTGTCTCGTCACAGGAGAGATCCCTGCACAGAATCACACAACCACATCCACGAGAAAGAGGGAGGCAAGGATGAGCTATGGGAAGCACAACTGCCACAAGTTTTAGTCTCAAGGGGTTTAGAAGCTGAGGTTTTCATTCTTAAAACAGTGGATTAGAGTCAGGCAGAAAACAAAACTTATGGAGAAGGCCATTTAGAGGGAAGAAAACAT